AATGTTAAAAAACATCTTCATATTTTCAAAATAAAAAATAATCTTCACCAAATATTCTTAAATATTAAAATAATTGATTTTTTTTAAAAAAAAGAAAGAAAGAGAAAATGTCGGAAGAAAAGAGATCGAGGAAGGAAAGAGAGAGAAAATGATGGAAAGAAGAGAAGGAGAAAGAGAGAGAAAAATGAAGCTAGCGTTTGGCCATAAATTTTCAAATATTCTTGGCAAATACTATTTGGGTAAAAATTTGGGTGAAATATCACCATGTGTTTGGCCATAGTATTTGGAAAACATATTTCACTTTTTTAGAAAAATATGATTTATACCTATAGGTTTTAAAAACTATCAAAACTAACCATAAGTTTGCATTACAAGTTAATTGGATCTTCGTTGCAACAAATAACAAGTAGTGTCCATGACACTGGAGCAATGTGGTAGTTTAGAGTGAGTGCAGCAAGCATCATTCCATACATCATGAAGTAGACAAAACACATGACTTTGTTACCATGAGCCGATTGTTCATCATTTTATCAACAACCATATCATTACTTTCATATTCACTGAATATTTCATCACTACTTTGGTGTTCACATATAAAATTATGTAATACAACGCAAACAACTATAATAGAGGGTATTTTTGTAAAAGATAAAGGTTTGGTGTAAAATTTCAATTTTTAAAAGATCACAAATAATGAGATTTGACCCAAATAATAGAAAAAACTAGTATTTGGGAATTTGGGATATTTTCCGAAAATATTTGTCAAATAATGACAAATTGTATGGACAAACGCTATTTTCCAATTTCCCCCCAAATATTACTTGAGAAATGGCGAAATGGTCTAATAAATCCCTGTACTTGTATGAGTTTGTATTGTGAACCCTTTTACTTAATTCTTTATCAATTGAACCCTTAAACTTAATAAATCACAATTTATCAAACCCTCAGACCATTGACTAATCTTATGTGGCATTCAAATAGTTGAGTTGGCAAAAGTGCGTAAATTCACTCTCGTTAAGGCGAGTGACTATCCTATTTAAGTTTTAAAAATATTTAAAAAATAGAAAAATAAAACAATAAAATAATGAAACTTTTTTAAAAAATTATAGTAACTAAAAAATGCTTTCTTCCTCGGCCAATCGGCCCACCTCCATTTTTAGCCATCTCCATGTCTGTCCGGTCCATTTTTCTTTGTTCTTCCCGCTTTTGTGAGTGAGCAGCGGTGGTCGTGCTCGACCGAGACCACTAATTCGCAATGGAGTGAGAGAGACGACGCAGGTCAGTGGAAGAAGAACGAAGCGGTGAGGGTGGGATCTGGTCACGACAGTGAAGAGGTTTTCCGGTCAGATCTAGTGGCCATGGTACGACGGAGATGATACGGGTGAGGAAGGGAGTACATGTGGTCACCTGCAAGAGTTGCGACGATGACTGAGATGAAGACGGCGGCGAAGGCTTTAGATTTTGAGGGTTTCAAGGTAGGAATGGGGAGATAAAGTATGGAGTTTCAAACAATAAAGAATAAATTAAAAAATTATTATTTCATATTTTATTATATAATTTTGGTTAATAGTTTTAAAAAATAGTTAATAACGATAATTATGACATGTCATTAATTTAGATGACGTGGATTTGATATATAATTTATTTAAATGCGAGTGAACTACACACCTGATAAGAGGGTTTCAAAATCTTCTTTTGATGGAGTGTAAGGGTTCAGTTGATAAAAGATTAAATAGAAGGGTCCATAATACAAATGCATACAAGTATAAGGGTCCGTTAGACCATTTAATCCTTGAGAAATTTATGGTCAAACAGGTCCGAAGAAAAGACAAGGAGAGAGAAATAAAGAGAAAGATCGATTTATGATTAAAAAAGGTTAATATTGGTAAAAGTAAAAAATATATCATAATTCTTAAATATAATATATTATTTATATAAATTGCCCAATTAATTAAGATATCAAAGTAAAGGATGCTGAAGCGCCAAGCGACGTAACCCATGCTCACCATCATTTTTTATTTAATAAAAGCATTTTTTTAGAAATTGGGATTTGTTGCACGTATTAGCTCGGGATTGTATATGACTTTAGCCTTTTAACTTTGATTTTATCATTTACTTAAATCATTTTAACTTGTTTTGCGTTGGGCAATACTTTTTTCTTTTTGACCTATTAAAGACCATGAACAGAAAATCATCCCAGAAAATTGTGCTCTCATTTTATTTCTTTCATTTCGCTTCCCTATAAAAGAACTTAACACTCTCTTTATTTTATGTGACATATTTTGAATTTTGAGATTCAAATGTTTATTTATAATGTAAATTTTTCATGTATCTTTTAAATATTTTGAATTGTCAATTATTGTGACTTACACTATTTTTTTACGTAATTTACAGACATATAAATTTTATTTAAAAAAATTGAAGATTTCAAGCGCAAATTTTCGATCAAACTTAAATTGTTTGACTGTCCAAAAACAAAACATGTCACATAATTTGAAACAGACGGAGTATTATATATTTATTTATTTTTCACTTTTAACTTTCAAGAATATTGTGCTACCCTAATTTTTCATCTTATAAACATCCTCATTCTTTGTTTTTTGTCATTTCAAGTTCTGAAAAATGCTAGTGGACCCTAGCAAGCATCCATCATTTCTCTTGCTTTTACCCAATGCAAATTGTATGCATAATATAGTAAGTTCTTTTTCTTTTTTACTAATTTTCTTGAAGTTAAAAAGTTAAGTTTTGGGTATTTAAGTGGAATAATTCAAAACCATTCAATAATTCACAGTTATTTCATGTAATTAGTCAGGACTTACTTTTACTGTGGATAGTTTTTTGTTGTTTGTAACTTTGAAGAATTTTGTATTTTATTACTCTTATGTTATTTCGCAGAGCCCACTTTTGTGATTAGGATATGTTATTGTACTTTGTAATTGTGTTCTAATATGAATTTTATTGAATGGAGTTTGAAGTTTAGTGAGTGAAAACTTGAAATAGAGAAACTTCAATTTGATCAATGCACCAAATGTAAGAGAGGGCGCAATGGTGAGATGTAGATAACTTACTGTAGTGCAAGCATTAGTAGTTGTTTTCGTGGCTTGAATTCGTGATCTATAGGTTAATGGAGATAATTTTATCGTTGCTCCAAGGTTGTATGACCAAAAACTACTTTTTCAAATGATGTTTATGTTCAAATAATTTTCATATGAACTTGCATTTGAAAGAACAATGGTAGCAATCCAATGAATCATAACAGATACAGCTTTTGACTTTAATATCCATCCTTTCAAAAGCATCAATTTCGAGGCGTCTACTTGAAACAACGTCTCTATCCCCACAAAGGTAGGGGTAAGGTCTGTGTACACTACAGTCACCCTAGACCTTACTTGTGGGGCTACGCTGGTTATGTTTATGTTGTTGTTGTCAAAAGAACCAATTATTTGTATGTAACACATCCAATAATGGCTTATGTAATTTCTATATATGCCATTTGAAATTTCAAATTCGGGTCTGACTCGCCATGCTTTGCCGTGTTTAAAATTTTTGTTATATTTTGCCTTCCACCTTGTGCTGTTAAGCTTTTGCACTGTCCCTACCCCGCTCCATTGCCATTTCTACTTTTCCAACTGACTTTTGCTAATCATGAAACTTTGATATGTTAGCAAATTCCGCCTGCTTTCATCAATGGACTAAAAAAGATGTTGGCGAAGACTTGCTTACTGCACACGAACGAAGGGGTGTTGTGGGAAGCAAAGATAATAAGAAAGAATTCCAATTTCTTCATCTGTGAAGGAGACTGGCCACAGTTTGTGGTCTTCACAAACTGAGGCCAGGGGATGTCTTGCTCTTCTTTCTCGTTGACAAATCGACTTTCCTAGTCGTTCCCTACACCCAGAAAAGTGGTAGAAACTTTCATGGGAGACAACCTTTCAAGGAACTCAGCAGCAGTTCGGAAGAAGAGGAGGAGGATATTGAAGCTTCAAGAAATTCGAAAGAATCATCAGACTCTGTGGAAGAAAGCATCGATCCATCAAGTTGCTCGAAAAACAGGGAATAGCCTAGCTACTCACATTTAGGTAACATGTTTCTTTTTACATTTGACGTTATTTAGATCATACCAACTAATCTGCACAGAGGAGTCCTAATTACTGTTGTACCTGTATTAAATTTGCTGTTTGTTATTGTTAGATCATGCCATGTCAGGAGTTAAATCGTGTCTTTCGTTCATTTTCTCAACCATCAAATCTTTTGATGCTGTCGAGAAACTTGTCAGAGACAAGTGGAAACAGATGTCAGATGCTGAGAAAGCTCCTTATATAGCTGAGACAGAGAAAAGGAGGGTCGAATATGCAAAGGTCTTGAATTCTTATAACCAGCTAATGGCTGCTGGATATGCTGAGGCAGAGAAAAGGAGGGTCGAATATGCAAAGGTCTTGAATTCTTATAACCAGCTAATGGCTGCTGGATATGCCGAAGCAGAGAAACCTGACAAGTCGAGGTCCGAAGTTGATCCATCCAGTGACTCTAAAGAAGGTAAACATCGATCACTTTACTTGTTTGGTATATCTAACTGTTTTCAGTTCATCTATAAATGATGTCGTTTGATCATACCATCTAATTTGGATCGGATCCTAATTGTTGTTGCACTTGCATTAAGCTTGCGATATTTTTTTATTGTTTTAGTCTAGTTAGAGACATGTATGTTATCCTGACCATATGTTGAGATCCCCTTGGAATCCCTCCCCAAAGATTTCCCTTTCAGTCTCTCTTGCTAGTAGTATTAGTATTATTTTCGATATTTTTATTATATTACTTTACCATTTTTGTGTTTCTCATTCTTAGTCTCTCATGTCTTCATAAATGTTGTGTTTTTTGCTTTTCTTGAACGAGGGTCTATTGGAAACAATCTCTCTACTTGCCGAGGTAGAGGTAAGATATGCGTACACTCAACCCTCTACAGACCTCACTTGTGGACTATACTGGGAATGTCGTTGTTGTTGTTGTTGTCTCTCTTGTTCATTTTCTCAACCGTAACGGTTTCCTCATGAAGGCGATAAATCCAATGCCAAAGCTAATTATGTATTCCACATGAAGAAGAAAACTCCAGGACTAAAAAAGTTGAGAAGGCCTGCCAGGGGTCTTGATATACCTAAGAGGCCTACAAGTGCTTACTTCATTTTCATGGAGGAGTTCAGAAAGCAGTTCCGTGAGCTGAATCCGAGCATCAAATCTATTGCTGTTGTTGGGAAAGCTGGTGGAAGCAAGTGGAAGCAGATGTCAGATGCTGAGAAAGCTCCTTATATAGCGGAGGAAGAGAAAAGGAAGTTAGAATATGCAAAGAGAATGAATGCGTATAACAGGCGAGTGGCTGTTGTAGATGCCGAACAAGAGGAATCTGACGAGTCAAGGTCCTGAGTTTGATGACGAAGAGGAAGAGAAGGATGACAACTTGTATACTTTGTTCTCTTCCCGTTAGATACTCACACTTTCTCAGTTCTGTTTTTTGGGGGTTTTGCAAGGAAGAAAAAGATGAAATTAGAGCAGTTGCTATTGTCTACTTTGTTAATGTTGATATGCTCTCTATTGAAGCTGGGGTAGCTTTCTGTTCCACTTGTTTCTATGGAAGTGTTGTCTCTTACACTTCGATTATCTTATTATTTTGTCGTAGTTATGTTTCTTTTTTCTGAATGCTTTGACATGCGTTCTGTAGTATTTTGTCATGACTTCTTCAGTCGTGTTATTTCTATGAGAAATAGGGGTAAGGTATGCGTACACTCTATCCTCCCCAGACCCCACTTGTGGGACTATAGTGGGTATGTTGTTGTTTCTGATAGACCTTCGGTTAGATGCATGAGAACGATCGATCCAACAAAGGTCGTAAGGTTCAATCTGGTGAAGTAAAGCAATCTGTATGAATTTAGGTCTTCTTTATGAATTAAAGCATATAAAATGGGTTCAATCATCTTGTTCTGCAATTTTTCATTGATCAATGATTTCGTAGATACGTAAATTTTTTTTTATCAAATCTAACGTCTTACATCATTTTTATTCCTTAAATATTTTTTTAGATTTAAATTGAATATTTTATTTTTTTATCGTATTTTAATAAGTTTATTTTAGAGTCAAGTCACACTTTAAGAGGTAGTTTTGTTTTCACTTTATTCAAAAGAAATGAAAACTTATAAAAATATATTTATATTAGATAAAAAAATTGAAAAAAACAAAATTTTATATAGAAGAAATGATTTATATTATAAATAAGAAAATAAAAATAATAATACTCATATTGTCGCCCTGAACTCTATATTTGGTGATAAATTAGAGAATAGGGTTGGAGTTTAAATTTGGAAATTAGGCTTTAATAAATTTCCCAAAACTTTTTAGCGTTCAACAGGCGGATTTGTGATGGCTGCAAGCAAGCATGAAAGCGGTGAAGTTTCAAAAGCACAACCCAAGTTCTATAAGATCATTGTTTCACCACAATGCACCTCCCTCGTAACTACTTTCTTCTCTCTTTTTTTTCACCATAATGCACCTCCCCGGCGGAATAGGAGTTCGATATCTACTATATTTACATAAAATAAAATAAATTAACCATATATAAATAGTTATATTTTCCGTTGAATAGGATTTCGATGAACCCTACCACCTAACATTATGCTGGCTCCGCCCCTTCTATTGGAGGTTGACTTTTAACCTACATTTTATCCCTTTTCACCTTGAGTAACTGTATTTATTAACTCAGTCTATTCTGACCCCGTCTAAATTCAGTCCAGGATTTTGAATAGTCAAAAACATATTAGTGAAAAAACCCAAAATAGTCTTTTATCTTTGAACTATGACTCAAAGTCATGGTTTTTTTTTTTTTCCGCATAAAGCACTAATAGCCCCTCATGTTTACAATATTGGTGCAAATTCGGTCATCCCCTAATTATGGTCTGTTTTTTAATGTTGGTTTATCCACAATTTAGTATATAGAATGTTCAATCGTCTTCTACAATAGCTCCACGTGAGAGAAGGTGAGTAGAAGAGTGTTCATGCAGTCCAAACACCATTGCAGCATAACCAAGAACCTGTCTTTGCTTTTCGAACTATATCAATTTATTGTCGGCAAATGACGTTGCAAGGAAAGAAAATTGTATACGGTTGCATATGAAATATTACGTGATGAACTTCTCGATGTAAAAAAAAAGAGACTAAAGTATGAGGGCGAACCAAGGTGCACCAATACTATAAATATGGAGGATTATTAGGGCTCTGTGTGAAAGAACGAGTCTGAACCCCAAAAAAAGAAGAAGACTATTTTAAGTATTTTCTCAATTTATAATGTGTTGTTGAGGAATTGAATTTCATTTGGCTTTGCACAATCTCAACGAATTTGGCCACAATCCTAGTAGCAATCTATGTTGCTCGGACTTTTTGAAAATGCGTATAGGTACGTGTTGGGTCCTTCAAAAAGTAGTGCATTTTTCAGAGGATCCGGCACGAGGGCGACAACATTTTTGGAGAGTCAACATAATGGGAGGTTTAGATTTTGATCAAAGCCGGTGTTTTTGTTTCCCTAAATCTATTCCTTTTCATAACATTGATGGATAAACTGAGTTAAGCTATTTTCCTTTAAATGCAGAGGATTCCGGAAGACTTTGCGAACAGATACTGCAAGAACCTTGCATATCTTGAGGTACCTAGTGGCAAGGTATGGGAAGTTGAAGTGGTTCATTTTGAGGATCAAATTTGTCTAGACAAGGGATGGCTAGATTTCGTAGATTATCACTCGATAAGCTGTGGACACTTTTCGATGTTTGGTTACGATGGTTGTTCCCATTTTAATGTCACCATCTTTGATTTGAGTGCAACAGAAATCGAATATCCACCAACAAAGAATGATTCCGATAATTCTATAGAGATTGATCCAGAAAACCACATAGGACATTGTTCATTTGGACATGCCAGCAAAAGAAAATGTCGAGATAGAGTTGAAGAGGATGATATTTCATTTGGCAATCAAAATAATGTAATCGAGGAAAAAGAGTCACAAGAGGAGCATGAGCAACAATCCGAGATTGTTCCTAGTAAGAACGAGGCAGAGGAGCGCGGAGAGATAGCTATAAACTATCAAACACCAAAGCTTTTAGAGGTTTATCCAGAAAGTCACAGAGGAAAAACGAAAGTTTCAGATGTGGTTGAGCGTTCTGTTGAAAACATAGGTCGTTCATTTGTACAGGCCAGCAAAAGAAAAAGACAAGATGGCGGAGTTGAAGAGGATGATGATGTTTCAGTTGACATTCAAAATAACGTAATCGAGGAAAAAGAGTCACAAGGGGAGAACGAGCAACAATCGGAGGTAGAAAGGGATGAAGAGATGGCTTTAAACTATCAAAAAGCAAAAGCTTTTAAATCTAACAATCCATTCATCATATCTATTATGCATCCATCTTATGTCTCCCACTCATTCAGCCTGGTAAGCTAACCAAACTTTGTTAAACCGATACTCTAAAATCTTTGTTTTTTCAATTCAATCCATATGCATATGCACAATTTTAAACTCAGGTTACTGATTTTATCTCTCTTTTCCAGTCCATACCGAAGAAATTTGCTAAGAGGTATTTCCTAAACCATCGCAATGTAGTGCTTAGTGTTACAGGCAAAGGATCTTGGTCTGTCAAATGCACTATCGGAACAAAAAATGCTAAATTTAGTTGGAAGGCACTTGTGCTAGACAACAAGTTAAAAACTGGAGATGTTTGTGTCTTTAAAGTGATTGAGGGCACAATGCCCGTGTCGATAAATGTGATCATATTTCCAGCAGTTTTTAACACATCAAAGCATGCAGAGGTCGTTTCTGATAGTGAAGATCCATGTTCTCAATACATTAGTGCAGACTATCAAAGAGCAAAAGCTTTTACATCTGAAAATCCATTCTTCATTCGTGTTATGCAATCATCATATGTTTCTGGCAATTCGTTGGTAAGATGTGTATTCTTTGAAGATCTGTTGGACTCTCAAATTTTTGTATCCTAACTCCTAATAAAGCTACATGTACCTACCTACTTTCTTACCAATACTATTAGCAATATTCTCGTAGTTTGTTCTTCGATATCGGTTATCACCTGCATTTGTTTGTGCTTCGGTTATTGCATCATTTCGCTATTGTTATTGTTCTTTCTTTGTAACTTGTGCACTATTTTCCATTTCACACTTCCATTGGAGTGCAAATTTAGTGTTGTGTTGGATGAAGCGGACGTGGAAGTAAGACTTGCCACACAGACTATCCCTATGAGAGAAAGTTTTAAGTATCTTGGGTCCGTAATCCAAGGTAGTAGGGACATCGACATTGATACCACGCATTGCATTAGGGCAGCACGGATGAAATAGAGGCTTGCCGCTGGAATCTTTTGTGATAAGAAGGTACCACGTTCTACAAAGTGGTGGTTAGACCGTCCTTGTGTATGGAGTGGAGTGGAGTGGAGTGGAGTGTTGGCCAGCCAAGAACTCCCATGTTCAGAAGATGCATGTTGTGGAGATGAGTTGAGATGGATGTATGGTCATACTAGGAGCAACAAGATTAAGAATGAGGTTATCCAGGAGTAGGTGGAGTGGCCTCTGTGGCGGACAAGATGAGGGAAGCGAAACTGAGATGGTTTGGACATGTGAAGAAGAGGTGAATTGATGCCTCAATGAGGAGGTGTGAGAGGTTGATTGTAGGGGGTACGCAGAGGGGTAGAGATTGGCTGAAAATGTATTGGGGAGAGTTGATTAGAAAAGATATGGCGCGACTTCACATTACTGAGGACATGACTCTAGACAGTAAGGAGTGGAGATTGAGTATTAGGCTAGAATGTTAGTAGGGGTTGAATGTTGTCCTGCTTTGCGAAAGTTTAGGCTTGTTAGTGTCTGTTGTAGTACTAGTCATACCTTTGTAGTTCTTGTCATATGCTGTTATTGTTTTGTTTAGGTAGACTTTACATGTTTTTTTTATTAACTGTTATGTTTTCTTCTTCTTTTACTTGGGTTTGATGCACTTGAGCCGAGGGTCTTTCAGAAACAACTTCTCTATCTCCACAAGGTAGTGGTAAGGTTTGCTTACACTCTAACCTCCCAGACCCGGTTGTTGTTGTTGTATTTCTGTATTCCCTTTTTTAAACAGCTTGAAATGCGTTTTTTAAGCTAAGGGTCTACTGAAAATGACATTTTTATCTCTATGAGATAGGGGTAAGCTCTGCATACACTCTAATGATAGTAAATCTTTTGGTTTGAACTTTTTTTACAGAACATACCTCGGGTGATTGGGTGGGAAATTTTTTCCGCTAAACGTAGTGATCTGGTGCTGCAAGTTCCAAGCAAGAGATCATGGACTTTAAAATGCAACCGCGCAAAAGAATATGCAAAATTGACTTTAGGTTGGAAGGAGTTTGTGTTCGACAATAATATTAAAGTAGGTGATGTTTGTGTCTTTGAACAGGTTAATAGATCCAATCTTTTGTTCAATGTCTACATATTTCCTGCAGAAGAAAATGTGTGAATAGATTAGATCAATATCATTAAAGCATGTAAAACCTTAGAGTTCTGCATATTGTAATCTTAAACCTATTGTATATAATATAGAGTTTGTGCATTAATCTCGATTATGGCGTATTTGGTGATAATGTCTTTCCTTCGTGAGAAAAGTAAAATCAACATATGGTAAGAAAATTAAGACAAGATCCTAACAATAATTCTCTCCTTTGGCTTGATTTTTTTTGGCAAAACATTCTATTTAATCTTCATCAATGTTGCACGTTAATAGTTAGCATGAGTTAAAAATATGGAGCACTGCGTTAAAGCCGAGCAGGGTCAATCGTGGTTTTTATATTCACAAATGTAGCAGCGGTATTGCCAAAATATGTTGAAAACTTGTCTCCACCTATAGTTTTCTTGACACAAAAAACAAATTGAAAAATTATAACACCCGCGTCAATATTTTTGAAAAATCGAAACAAAATATATTACGTATGCCCTTGAGGTAGGGAAGGAGGCCAAACTAAGCCAAAATCCACTAGATTCATACATGCCTCAAATAAGGATTAGTAGTGATCATGACAAAAAACTACTGAAGAAGAAGTTCCTTTTATGAATAATATAGGAGATAATGCCAAATAAAGGGAAGTTTTATCAACGTAAAGACATTAAAATGAAGGCCAGAGACTGAGAAAAGGAGCCTCCCATGAGTTTGCAGCACAGACAAACAGACAATACAAATATCATGAAATAAAACATACATAAACAGATAACACAAACATCACAAGATTAACACACATGTGAATGTCCAACACGATAGCATCACAGGCAAATCAAACCGGCTTAAGACAGCAATCTGATCAGGGGGGAACACTTCTGATCTCATTCCTCTTCGGACTCGGACTCAGCACTCTGCAGCCATTCGACAAAGGGTTTGACATTCCTCCAAATTTTGGAGTCCTTGTTCGCAGCAACACCCTTGTTGTACCACTGTACTATATATTCCTCTTCCAACAGATCATCATCATACAAAGCTTTCAAAACCAGAGTCACTTCCTTCAGTGCAACTGAGTTGGATTTCCCAGAAAACTCTTCTATAGCTCGAAGTAATCGGAGTTGAGACTCTTCGTCTTGAGCAACAGCAGCAAGGTAGCTTTTCTTCTTAATAACCTCCTTGGCAAATCCTTTCTCAACGCCATCCAAGAGTGCTTCATAAAAAGCAATAATAACTTCCTGAGGAGATCCAGAGAGTGAACCCAAAAAGGATTGTATTTTGCTGGAGGCAACTCCCTTCTTTAGATTTGTTTTTACTTCCCTAACAAGCCTCTCATGGTTTGTCTCTCCATTTTCGGTCTTGGGATTCTCAGGTGTCACAGAAGCAGCTGCTTTAGGACTTGGGGTTTGAGTAGCTGCTTTGGACTTCTTCTCAGACTCAACTGTGGACAGCATAACCATTTCGGCAGTCGCAGCATTTAGCTGTTCTTGTATACGCTGCTGAGCAGCTTCCAGCGATGTATCTGTCTGCCACTGGACGTCGTCATCATCATCATCTTCTTCCTCTTCTTCTTTCACATTAACATGGCTTCTAGGTGGTGAAGCATGATCCTCATCAGAGCCACCATGTTTCTTTTTAGAATTAGGTTTTGCGCTAGCATCTTTGGAGGAAACCTTTTTCTTTGTTTCTTTCTTCAGCTTCTTCAGCTCTTCATCAGCAGCCTCGCCTTCCTTCAGCCGCTCCTTCTCAGCTCTTCTCATAGCTTTCTTGTCCTTGGAGCCCTTCTTAGCCTCAGGCGGGTTCTTAAGTATAAAAGTTGTCAGCTTGTCCCTCATGTCCACATCAGAAAGGAAACCACATGCAGCACATTTTAGTTGGATCATCTGAGTTTTGGTTATTATGACCTCTGTTTCAGGATTTCCGCAACCATAGCACTGAACATATTTCTTAATAAAGTTCTCGAGAAGACCAGCAAGTTTAGGGGTTTCATGAGCTCCATTGACAAGGGCAGTTCCAGATTTTTCATCAAATTTCGACTGAGCCCCAAGCTCATTTCCAAAATATTTTGTTGTATAGGATGGGGGCCTTGCTAATGCTTTGGCAATATCAACCATGTTCACCACATTTGTCTTGATACCATTCCCACGGCCCTCAATCTTGGTAAGCATCCTGGGCATCTTATACCTGTAGAAGGCATCATCACTGTTGCTGGCACCTATGTTTTGCAAAGCCATCTTTGATTCAGTAAGAAATTTCTGGATGAAGTGTTAGGTATGTTCAGAGAATTCTTCAGCAGAACAATTGCAAAGTGCTGATTGTGCCTTCCAGCAACCAGAATAGTCGTAATGCTCTTCCTTTAATGGTTCGAGATGCATACGGTCAACCCGACCTGAGAAATGACGGTTCTTTTTCTTTGACGTAGGACAATATTCTCCAAGCAATCCAATGGATCCCAAATAGAAGATGGCTTGTTCGGACATAAAAGAAGTTTCACTTAGACTACTACAACTTCGGAACTCTACAGAAGGCACACCACCTGCAACCTTCAAACAAACGAACCACGAATCAACTACAGGCAAGGAAACTAAAAATTACTACACTAAGTTTATATTAATAAATGAGGTAAATGATTTTAATAATGACAGTCACAAACTGTTCTACCCTTAAGATTGAAAAATGAGTTCCTTTTGGCAATAGCAGCTTGAAAAGCAACATGTTCTATAAAACTTTTCTATGAATAGGAACAATAAGGGTACATAATGATAAACTAATCTGCCAAGGAACTTCAACATTACCTTGGGTCATTTATCAGTGTGTATATAAGCTTTCAAACTGCATAACCTACAAAAACATGAAAGAGAACCCCAAGATTGCTTAATTTCAAAAACTAGACTATGTTTATCCCCAATGCGGAAGTCTTAATACTTCTTCAACAGAATGAATAGCCGACACAATTCTTGTTATAATTTGTGTTCCCACTTGAAATGTTTCCACTCCATTACAATCTAAATGCATAAAAAATTAGGGATCAAACTGTAGAGCCATTCTGCTCCAGTGTTTTGAAAAGTGAGGGGCGTAAAAATCAACAAGCGCTCGCTTTTCACCAAAGCGAGAAGTGTGAAGCAAATAAACAATAAAAACTAAAGCGCTATTTAGTACAAAAATAAAAAATATCAAATGTGCATTGATAAATAATCAAGAACTCAATAGAAATAACATATTAAGAAAATCTTTCATTTCTTAAATTAAAAAGTAAATAGAATGTACTACAAAAACACAGAAAGGTGAAAACAGAGACAGAATAGCAAAAACCATTACAAAAAAGAGGAAAAATTGCAGAGTATGGACATAAACAGCACAAAACAGAGAAATAAATACAAAATAGAGTAAAAAAATTGCAAAAAAAGTAAGGAAAAAAAAAAAGACAACGCTGTAGCACAATCGCAGAGAAGATTATATTGCAAAACAGAGAAAATTGAAGATTACAAGTTGAAAAAGAAAACCTTAGCGCAAGCTCGCAGTAGAGAAACAGAGCAAAGAAGAAGAAGTGAAACAGTGGGAAATGTTCAGAAAGAAGTCGCAAAATGTTTTAACAATTTTTTATTTTTTTTTAAAAAAGAACTAGTTACTGTTGCTTAAGCAGAAAAATGAGCTTTTTTCTCGCTTTTTACTGAAGTCTCGCTTCTCAATTCTGGGACCAAAGAAGCTCGCTTTTTCACTATAGGCTCGCTGTACTGAAAAAAAAAGCGATACCAGCTTCGCTTCTCACGCTCGCTTTTAATAACACTGTTCATCTCACTTCTGACTAAAAGGGAACCGCACAAATATAGGCAACAACTACCAAATAAGCTATCATTTTACAATCCACTCCGACTAAAGAAATCAATGTCCGTTTTATTCAGATTGAAACGTACAAAATCCATTCAATCAATGCAATTATTTGGAATTTGACATATGAACTATCTATATCCATTTCGCACTAACTCGACTCATTTCAAGTTGTAGAGACATTCAGCTCACTTTTGACAAAAAGAGAACACCACAAATACAGGCAACAACTATCAAAATAAACTATTCTTTCACAATCTACTCCGACTAAAGAAATCAGTGTCCATTTTATACAGATGAAAACATACAAAATCCGTTCAATCAATGCCAAACTATTTGGAATCTGATATATGAACTACCTATCTCCATTCCCCTCTATTTCTCCTATTTCCTCTCCGATTCAAAAAATAAGTCTTTAAAGCCAAATTAGGACTCATCTAAAGCTAGAAAATTCTCTAAAAACATCCGCCTAATAATCTCATCAGATCAGTAAAATATTTTATTTTTATTTTTTTTTGATAACCGAGAAATCCGTCTGTGACCCGCCCTTTGGACCAATCACAGCCTTCTAAACTCGGTGGATAATGGGCCCGCCCCTCTACCCTTCTCCACTTAAATAACGGGCTTCACTTTGCATGGTGTGGGGCTTGAACCTGCGACCTAAGTCACAAATCCTCCACCTTTTGCCACTCGAGCTAGGCCTTGGGGGCCATCAGATCAGTAAAATATATTATCAATCAATTCAAATAACAGATCGGAACAAAAAAACACTAAAACAAAATAGATCAGGACGACGATGAACAGTTGTATAACGTAATTAAATACGCAATGAACATTGATTTAACAACTTCAAAATTCCGCTAGTCAATTGATAAAGCATAGAATAAGATGAAAATAAGAACAAAAAGTAATCAAAAATACCTTATTGATCGAACGAAGCAGAGCAATCTGCAATACGATGAGGAGAGCAATTGAAGAAAAACGTAGAATAGGGTTTAATAATAAAGGATAGGGAAGTGGTGGTGATAGAGGAGAACCGGTCTAGAAGTTTCCTTCATTTATAATTTTATACACAGGGTTTGAAAGAAAAATTGAGAGAGAAGAGTTTAGAAAAATCAAAAGACATAAACACCCTTTAACTTGGATTCGGCCCATATCCATACCCTCTAATTTAGAATGTGCACAATAGAATTAAACAAATA